ATAATTTCGGGAGGGCTTGCATTATTGGCAACTGCTCAATTAGCTAGGAAGGTGAAGCCACCATCCCATCACTTCTCTATCTAACAGTTGAAGATATAAATTTTACTATTTAAATAGCTCCTCGCGACATTATTTTATGGGGATTTCAAAAAAAAAAAGTCTATTTTTCCGGCCTTGTCGATCAGAATTCACATAAGATCCCTCATAAAATAAAATGCAATTTTTAAAAAAATTCGACGGGGAGCGACAATGTAGGCCCGATGCCAACCACGTGGCAGACAGCATCACCCTCCCTTTCACGTGGGTCCCTGAACTAAGAGCCGGGCAGATGCTCGCATTGGCCCATCACATGGTTCTACCTCACCCCATTTCTTTATTCTCCTTCCCTTGCCCTGCGGAGCAATAATAACATATTAATATCCAAGAAGATTTCTTCTTCATAACATTAAGATTTACTTGAGAAGGTTCCACTAAATTTCACCAAGAATTTTGTTAAGGAGTGAGTCATGGATACTTGCTGAATGACCAACTAAAAGAAACTTTTTCAATTTCCAAAACGTCGATTATCCCCGTAGCGTGCACAATCGATACCTTGAAAATCGAATCATTCAAACATAAAGTATGCTGACAAATGGTACTTAATAATAATAATGAAATATGGGAAACTCGATGGATAAATTGAGTGGCGAAACAATTTGCCGTTATGCCTCACTAAAGTTGGAGTCTCTGTTGATTCATGTTCCGTGCAACTTCTCATAAAGCTATGGCCATGCCACAGCCAAGCAAAATTCGTTGCAAATTCTATCCGATACGGATGGTTTGGCTTTATCAAGGGGCCAACCTAATTCGGTGCATGCAAGTCGGCTATATATATTTGAAAGGTATTTTGCATAACACGACTTGCGTTGTCAAAAGAATAAAAGAAACAGTAAAGTCGGCTCTATCATTCCCGACGTAGGCTCCGGCAACTTTCGGTTCCAATACCAATGAATGCGCAGAGAAGATGAAGATACAAGGCTCGTATATAATAATGGTTCTTGTGCCAACCCTCGGCCTCCATGGAGTTTCAACGTATAGATTAGTTGGGCTTGACTTTTGAAGGTCACCAAAGTCTTCGATTAACCTCATCATCAAGCAAACGGAAGCTTTCTTTACTTCGATAGTCCAAGGCAGAAGTAGTAAATTAGGGCACGTCGTCCTCAGTTGAAGTATGATACAGAGTGCTGTGATCACATTACTTCATGCGATGTTGGGATAAAAATATCGCAAGTGCCACAACTTTCATACGATCGCTCACTTGAGTATCATAACTTTTTTTTTTAAATCTTAAACCTAAAAATGAAGTGACACAATTGCATTAGATTTAGGACTTTTTGGATAATTCTCTCTTTTTTTTTCGATTACTTGAGTGATGTGACTTCTAAAAGACGTTTACGGTGCCATAACTTTCAATCGATCACCCGAGTACCATAACATTTTAAAAACATTCGCCCAAGTGCCAAAAATCCGATGTGGCAGAGCACTAATGATCGACTCAAAAGTTATATGGCACTCAAGTAATTGAAAAAGAAGTTATGGCACTTAAAGTGAGTATTATACATAGATTGTCGCACTCGTGTGATTGGAAAAAAATAGCTACGACCTCAAATGAGCGTCATACGAAAATTATAACACTTGTGCTTTTCTTTTCCCTGTGGAGTTTGTTTTCTTGGACCGAAGGCCGCAATAAATTGGGGTGGACACGGGAATTTAGATACGTTTGGTAACCATTCTGTTCCCGGAAATAATTTCTGCTCGGAAATGATTTTTTTTATTTGATTCATGGAAACAATTTCTAAGCATTTGAAGGCGTTTGGTAACTGCCCAAAATTTATATTCTTGGAATAGAAAAAGAATAGAAATACGTTTGGTAACTGCACAAAATTTCTTTTTATTAATAATATTTTAATGATATTTTGAATTTGTTAATATTTATTTCTTTTTTTCTCTTCCCCTTCCTTGGCCCATGGCCAGGGCTGGCGAGGGTTGGACCCTTGTCGACCCTGGCCCCTGGCTGGTTACCGGTGGTCGGCGACCGACCACAGGGCAGGAAAAATGAAGAAGACCAATTAAGAAGAAAAAGAAGAAAAAAATTCTTTTCCATTTTTAATTATTGTTCCCAGAATCATTAATCAACTTTTTTTATTCTTGATTCAGTTTCAAAACTGATTCTGAAAATAAATTTGTGCCCAGAAATAAAAAATTTACCAAATAAATTTCTATTATTTTTTTATTTCGAGAAATAAAATAATATAATCGGATACTGTTTGGCAGATTGCCAAAGAGCCCCTTAATAGCTCCATCTGCCCTCGAAGCGATCAATTCAATGAGTCCCCAGAAAGATATGCTTGCACTGGGGGCCTGCAATTTCTTTGATACGGAGTCGTTTTTCGGGACTGTTGAATGGATCGCAGAGTAGTAAATGAGTCGAATTATTCACTGATTCTCATCAGATCAGTCAATACAGAAGGAGTGGAGTTCCTTCCGCGGGGGGTGAGGACTACTGAGGATGAGGAGGACCATTTGGCTTTGCAGCTAGACATGATCTGAGCCGTCATTGAACGTGGTGAATAATCAAGCACCAAGGAGGGAGCTACAGCATAGGATGCTCTGTCTAGCTAGCTTGCTTTGCTAGCTTTCCCTGCGATCGTTAGTGTATGCGCTCGGGATTCCGGTGGAGGCCTCCGGTTTAGTCGGGTCTCTAGGCGCGCGCCTTTATAAAAGAAGATATGTGAAACGGAGGACTTTGCTATGTCATAACATGGAAAGATCGCGCGACAGGTCGCGACTTATCTAGAGCATTTGTACTTGGGAACGTCGGATGAACGTGCGATCGCGCTTTTACATGTTCTTAATGCTGAAGCCTTTGACAAATCTCGCATGCCTCCCAAAAAGCATGAAAGTAATGCTAGCTAGGTGTTAGAATGTGTATGTAAAGCTCACGCGCTAAGGTTCTAGTTCTTTCGTGAAAAATCAATAATCCGAAAAATATTTTCCCAACTTTAATAACTCTTATTGCTAACAAAAATATTTTCCTACCACTAATTAACAACAGCTTACGTGTAAACATTTTGGTGGATAATGAGAATTTTTTCGGTTACCTCTTTTCTAAGAGATATAAATGATCAAAATGAAGAAAATCCTTTCTAAATCATTGATTTTCGACTAAACAAACTGAGCATAAATAATTCAAGTGAACATTTAAATGGGCGGGTTGATTTTAATAATCGATGAGAACCCGCCACGTCACTTAATATAAAACTAATTTTAAACATGCATTTGCCCCTAAAACACACAAGCCCACGCTACAACCTGTTTACAACTGGGATGAGCTATGATGTCATTTTCAGCGCAGCAACTTAACAACTACGCTTCGACCAAAAAACAAAGACAAAAATAAAAACTTAACGACTACGTTGTATGAAAGTCATAGCTCGGTAAGTGCCAGTGTCGGGCGGTCGACTAGCCATTGCCTCTCGGAGATTTCCCTTTCTCAAGACTTAAAAAAGCGTAAAATAATTCAATTAATTTTTTTTTAAATTAATGTCATTTCAAAAAAAGTTTGTGCTTAAATAATGCTATTTTTAATTAATGTTATTTCAATTTACAGCTCCCGATGTAATAATGTACCGACGCGGCTTAAATTGAAAATTTTGGCAGCGGCCTCCTTCACTTCTCCGAACCTACCCGCCACCTCCTCCCAATTTCCTCGTTCCCCAAAAATAATTTAATTCGGGTCCATCCCTTGCATTCCTTTTGGAAAAAAAAAAAAAAAAAAAACAACCCATCTCTATTTATAATTAATTAATAATTCTAATGCAGGGCAAAAAGGGGAAAAAAGAAAAGCCCGATCCCAGTCAGGTCAACCTAACAATTTCTTTGTTTTCGTCCCAGACTACAGTTGGATCAACCAGACAGACCCTCATTAATCTCCTCGACCTGACTGACAACGAACTAAGCGGGGCCCCACCAATCACGTTTCTCAGATCGTACACGAGCATTGAATCTCACCCCCCCCCCCCCCCCGGGTCATTTTCCCACGAAGATTTCTTTTAGGGTTAATATAAAAAAAAAAAATCCCAAACACCCGCTACAAATTTACCGACAGTTAAATTGCTGATTTGAATGATATGTGACAATTGACGAATGTTTTAATTTGGGATTTTACCCTATATTTGTCATGTGTATATATATATTTTTGGTCAGACACGTGTATATTAATTTAATCCAATTTAATAAAAAATAATGGAGGATAAATTTGTCACAAATATATTGATTTGTGGTAAAATTGTTATATGTGTACCAGTTTGAGATTTTTTATGGTTAAAAAATTAATTTGTGATAAATTTGTCACGGGATATCAACCATTTCTTGTACAAACCGGTCTTCAATTCATTCACCGTACGTTCGAATTTTACAAGCAAACTGCAAAATGCATTGCCTCGACACATGATTGTGCAATCGGGACTACGCTTTGGCTAGTCCCCATGATCCCAAGGCGACATTTCGAAGTCCGTCACACATTCGACTAACGAAAACATGACGGAACCTTTAAAGCTCGTCTTTCGTAATCAATCTCCTTTGCTGTGATTCGGTAAAAGCCGTGATAGCATCAAGATCTTCCGCTAGGAAACCACCCGTCCATATATTATTATGGGAGTACACCCGATAATACGGGTACGATATAATTGATAATTCATATCGAAATACGTATACCAATTTTTACTCGAATGAGAATATACATGCGCAGATATGCAGCTTATTCAACAGTAGTAGAGTGACATTTACGGGACACATTTTGCTAATTAAGCCGATAAAAGTGAGGATTTTCCATTGAATCTCAGCAAAAACCACAAAAAAATTATTTGATTAATATAATGTCAATGACCTCTCTCTTACTCTCTCTCTTTCTCTTATATAAGTAAACCAACGAAGCCAGCCATAACTTCAGAATCGCAAGAAAGACGCCGAGCTTCGTCTGTCTCTCTCTCTCTCTGTCTGTTTCCCTTGCAAAGGCTCGATCCACGGCCCAGACATGGACGACGACAAGCTTTTCCCGTCGTCGGAAACCGACCTCGACCTCAGCTTCACCAGCCTCGCCTCCACCGCCACCACCGACCGCACCTTCGCCTGCTCCAGCGCTCGCAGCAGCCTCACCCTCAGCTTCAACGACCGCCTCTCCACCTCCTCCGCCGCCGTCGCCGCCGACTCCTCCTCCTCCTCCTCCGTCGCCGCCTCCCTCCACCACCGTCCCCACCGCCGGTCCGACCCCAACTGGTCCGCCATCAAGGCCGCCACCACGCTGTCATCCGACGGCCGCCTCCACCTCCGCCACCTCAAGCTGCTCCGGCACCTCGGCACCGGCAACCTCGGCCGCGTCTACCTCTGCCGCCTCCGCGACTGCGACTCCGCCAGCTTCGCCCTCAAGGTCGTGGACCGCGACTTCTTGACCAGCAAGAAGCTCTCGCACGTCCAGATGGAGGCGGAGATCCTCTCCGCGCTGGACCACCCTTTCTTGCCCACGCTCTACGCCCACATCAACGTCTCCCACTACACCTGCCTCCTCATCGACTACTGCCCCGGCGGCGACCTCCACTCCCTCCTCCGCAAGCAGCCCGGCAACCGCCTACCGGTCCAGGCGGTCAGGTTCTTCGCCGCCGAAGCCCTCGTTGCCCTCGAGTACCTGCACGCCCTCGGGATCGTGTACAGAGACCTGAAGCCTGAGAACATCCTCTTACGTGAGGATGGCCACATCATGCTGTCCGACTTCGATTTGTGCTTCAAGGCCGACGTGGTCCCCACTCTCAACACCCGAGCGGGGCCCACGTCGCCGAGGACGGCGAGGAGGAGCCGGAGGCTCTTCTCCTCCTCTTCCTGCCATTACGGCTCGGTCAAGCGTGGAGGAGAAGGGTTGAGGGAGGTGGTGGCGGAGTTCGTGGCGGAGCCCACCGCGGCCTACTCGAGGTGCTGCGTCGGGACCCACGAGTACCTCGCCCCCGAGCTGGTCTCCGGGAACGGGCACGGCAACGGCGTCGACTGGTGGGCCTTCGGGATCTTGCTATACGAGCTGTTGCACGGGACGACGCCGTTCAAGGGCGGGAGCAAGGAGAGCACCCTGCGCAACATAGCCTCGAGCAAGCAGGTCAGGTTCCAAGTGGCGGAGGAGCGAGAGGAAGCCGGGATGGCCGAGGCGCGGGACTTGATAGAGAAGTTGTTAGTGAAGGACCCGCGGAGGCGGCCAGGTTGCGCCCGGGGCGCGACCGACATTAAGCGCCACCCGTTCTTCGACGGAATCAACTGGCCGTTGATCAGGACTTATCGGCCACCGGAGGTCCAGGGGCTCGTGAGGAAGTCGAGGCCGCACACGAGCCTTGTCGCGAGCGTCGCGCCAAGTCACAAGAGGAGGCGTTGGTGGTGGAAAGGGCTCGAGTGCTTCATGAGAAGCAGTAAAAGATCTACGTCGAAGTACTATTGCTCGAGAAACCCAAACAGGAGCAACAGCAATTACTATCAATACTACGTTAAGAATAACAGGTCTCCTGAAATGTAACTAAACCTTTGTGGGTTCCTTGTTTTCTGAGAGTTTTCCACACTCTTTTTTATTTTGCTTTGCGAGCTCAGGATTTGTAAATCGGGTAGTGATGGCAACCAAACTTCTCCAAGTTTCGGTGGATGTATTTTGCTATGTACACATATGGACAGACAGATTGTATGGTTTGTATATGAATCAAGGTTACAAAATGAAGGGGTTTGAGTTTGTGATTTGTTTAAATTAGCCCATCTATAATCAATCGCGGTTGCATTATTATTATTCAGAAATCTGGAAATCAAGCCAGTGTTCCGCCTTTCTATTGGTTCTTAATCCAGATCTGGACCAATGGATCTTCATCGATGATTTCGATTTGCACAGATAAAGCAGTAATGACCATTTTCTCGGGGTAAGAACTTAAAAGAAGTCGTCTGGATATACGGTTCTTTACAGTTCCAAGTTTGGATACTTTTCATGCTTAGTCATGCTCTTTCCAAAAGCATCAAGCGGAAGACCAGAATATGCAATGCTGGTAGAACTATAAGCCAAAGCCGGTTTGTCTTGTTGATGTAGATGTGGAGTTGTAGCAGGAAAAATGGATATCTGATGTTGCAGATTTCGAGGAGGGAGACCGTGTTTCGATGTCGAATGCCTAATGACTGATTATATTATTTATCTAGTAAAGAGTCAAACAAGATGGTTGCGAAACGTTGTGTATGGCCAGAGCACAAGTTGGTGGGAGAGAAGACTTATCACTTTGCCTTCAGTGATCCTATAGAGACCAGGAGACAATACTTTGTAGTCACACTACAAACCAGCATTCGAACAAATTATGAGCGACCCTGCAAAGTCAGAATTGCACACGCAAACGGAATTGCACTTTTTCTATGATGCCTCTGAAAGTAATTCTGTGCCCATTTGTGGTTGATTCGGGCATGAAACGATAACAAGTTATAATGCTTGGCATTTGGCTCTTAGATAGGAACCATATGAAGTGGCTTATGTTGCAGAAAATAACATGAATAACTAGAATGGTTTGAAAAGGTGCTAACTTTTGGAAGAGGCTTCTTCTTCTAAAGGGGTTTCTGATGTTGGAGACGCTGCAGAATCGCTCAGCAACTCCCTGGAATCGATCATCATCATGATCACCTCCTTCATAGTTGGCCGATTGAGCGGGGAAGTGCTCGTGCAGAACAATGCGATTTTGAGGAATAGAGACATCTCATCGACGGTGCTCTTGTCGGTCAAGTCTAGCCGCTTGTCGAATATTTCGGGTGTTGGCACTGCATCACGGACTGAACTCCTCACCCAGGAAACTAGGTCCCCTCCCTGCTCGAGGGGCTGAACAGGGGTTTTCCCGGTAATGAGCTCCAAGAGAACTACCCCAAAACTATATATGTCGCATTTTTCTGTAACTTTCATTGTATATGCATATTCTGGAGGGAAAAAACCCGAGCAATTAGCTAAATTTGGTGGAGCAAAACATAAAATCGGTTCAAACATTATCATGGAACATGTGACCAACAAGAGAACACCACTTCAACTATAAAATCTTGCTTTTCCACAGTACTATCATATTTTGAGGAAAATATGCAAGCAATTAACCAGTTAGATACAATAGAATGAGTTAGATATATAACTTATTTTTTTATCACCATTCTCGACCTCAAATTAGTGATTATGCATCAGATTTAACGAACATCAACACATCGAACCGTTCGTTCTAGAAATTGCTTTCATATAGTAATCAGAGAATGCTTCCAGAGGAAAATCCATAACGCCATCTCTCAGGAGATAAACCAATTATAAATCAAGCAAGCAAAAGGAATTAGTAAATGAACTAACAAGTGCTTAAAGTTCATTAAAAAATATTTCGAGCATGGAGGGTGATAGGAAAACATGATTGGTTACTGTTAATACAGCGGTATCAGCAGGGGAAGAGAGCACTTCTCCCACAGATAAATAAGCAAATAACTGAAGAAGATTGAATTAGAAATCAGACATACAACCACTGTTCACAGAGTTCCAGGGCACTTCGTTCTTACCTGGGGCAATGTAGCCGTATGAACCTGCAACAGCAGACATGGACTTTGAGTAGGAGTCGATCAACTTCGCCAAGCCAAAATCCCCAACATGAGCCTCGAGCAATTCATCGAGTAAGATGTTGTTGGATTTGATGTCACGGTGGATGATTTGAGGTTTGCAATCATAGTGGAGGTAGCACAGGCCCTCCGCCGCTCCTAAAGCAATTTTATAACGGTCATTCCATTCAAGCAAGTGCACCTGTTCATTGGAATGAAGCCGTTCTCCTAAGCTCCCATTTGCCATGTACTCGTATAAGAGAAGATTAGAGCCTTGACTGTAGCAGAAGCCATAGAGTTTCACGATGTTCCGATGCCTAATCTTTCCAAGGGTTGAAATCTCGGCAGTGAAGCTGCCATCATCACTGGCTCCCTCTCCATGCGACCTTAGTCTCTTCACAGCTATGACCTTGCCATCAGGCATTACAGCCTTGTACACTGTACCACAGGCTCCTCTTCCTATAACTGCACTCTCTGAAAAATTTTCTGTGGCTTCGAGGAGGTCCTGATATGTAAACCCGACTCTTGGAAAGTAATAATGATTCAACGAGTCAAGCTTTGTTTTATCTTCAAGAGAAACAAATTCGGGCACTGTGTGCTTGAAGGCCCGACAAATGCTGACTACAACGATCAGAGTTGTAAAACCTACTATCAGCGAGATAATGCTAACGATTTTCTCCTTGGATGAACCTTGTTTCATCCAGTTTGATCTTGGTGTCGGAGAAGGTGCTATTGATGGTTGGCAACAGCTGGAATCTGACATGCGTAATCCATTGTTACCAGCAAAATTCGTGGAATTCATTCTACGAAACACAGGAGTGTCTGGTACCACTCCTACCAACTTATTATTAGAGAGGTTACAGACCAAAAGGCTGAGAAGCTCCCCGATCGAATTGGGGATTTCGCCAACAAGTTGATTATCATTCAAGTAAAGAGACTCCAGCATCTGCAATTTCCCCAACTGTTCAGGGATTCTCCTGGCTAGATTGTTATGGCTGACATTCAGGGCGATCTGGAGAGCCGTAAGACAACCAAACTCAAGAGGAATCCCACCTGAAAATAAGTTCCCCCCCATCTGTAACTCTGTAAGCCGTCTTAGATTTCCCAAGGTACTAGGTATTTGACCTGTCAATCTGTTATCAGATAACTTGAGCAGTTCCAGATTGACAAGCTTCCCGAGTTCTTCCGGCAGAGAACCGCCAAACCTGTTTCGGCTGAGATCAAGCCTCTGTAGCCTAGTGCAGTTCCCAAGTTCAAGAGGAATACTTCCTGAGAGTCTGTTGGAAGAGACATTGAATGCCACAAGCTGCACCAAACCTCCAAGTTCAGGAGGTATCAAACCCACAAGGTGGTTATCTGATAAAAGGAGCCTCTCTAACTTGGGGAAGTTCCTGAACCCTGGAGGAATTAACCCTGAAAACCGGTTTTGCTGGAGTTCGAGAGCAGAAAGGTTTTGAAGCTTCTGGAGTTCCACAGGGAGGCTTCCAGTGAGCTGATTGTCCCCTAGCATCAACCGAGCGAGAGACTTGCAAACTTTCAAACTGTGAGGGATATTCCCAGATAAATGGTTGGACCCGATGCTAAGGAACATCAAACTTTGGTACTGGCAGAGATGCGCAGGTATCCTTCCGACGAGCTTATTTGCTGACAGGTCGAGAATGGAAAGATTACTATTCAGACCAAGAAGAGGAGGTATAGTTCCATGTAGCTGATTGTCGAAAAGTTGGAAGTCAACTAGATAAGTGAGGTTCTGAAGTTCTACAGGAATTGTGCCCGTCAAGTTATTTATCGACAGGTCTAGGCTTTCCAAAAGTCTGAGTTGCCCCAGCTCATTAGGAATGCTTCCCTGAAGCAGGTTCTCGAAGAGATGAAGCAAGCGGAGGTTGGGGATTCGACCCAGCTCTTTTGGAATGATTCCGCTTAACTGGTTTTCAGAGAGATCAATTTCAACAGTGCTTACGCAATCCCCTAGCTCTCGTGGAATTGTTCCATTCAACTCGTTGGTGTAGAGGTACAACCTCTTTAGACGGGTTAGCTTTCCAAATTCCTTGGGAATAGCTCCACTCAAAGAATTCTTATACAATGCAAGCAACTCAAGATTGCTAAGATTTCCAATTTCAGGAGGAATCTCGCCAGATAAAAAGTTTTGGTTAAGAATTAGAGAGTTCAGATTCTGAAGTTTATAAAGCTCTCTAGGGAGAGGACCCTGGAGCCTATTCTGTGCCAACCCCAGAACCTGCAAACTCTCGCACTCACCAATTTCCGAAGGTATCACACCCGAAAGAGAATTTGAACCTGCCCTAATGATCCCGAGGCTTTTCAGATTGCCAATCGTTGGGGGTATCGGGCCAGTCAAGTTGTTGCCATAAAGTTTGAGCTCTTCGAGCACGCTGAGTCTCCCAATTTCCAACGGTATGTTGCCATATAGATAGTTCTCGCAAAGGGAGAGCTTTCTGAGAGCAGTAATGTTGAAGAGCGGAACAGGTAATTCTCCATGAAACTTATTTGTGCAAAGGTCTAGGATTTCTAATTTACCACATCGGGCAAGTTCTCGAGGAATGGGGCCAGAAAACAGGTTCTTGGACACATTCAGCTCGACCAATTCAGGTAAGCCACAGAGGATTGGAGAGAAAAAACCGGACAAGCTAAGGGAATAAAGATTGACAGATATTACCTTGGAATCAACTGAACATGCTATTCCTGTCCAGTTGCAGGGGTCCAAATCCGAGGAATTCCAGTTTTGAAGGTTGTCATTGGGGTGGATGAGCGAGTTCTTGAACTCCAAAAGCGTACTGCCCTCTTCATTCAGACAAGTCACAACTAGGACATAGAATGGAAGTGTGAGCGCCCAATGAAGTATCTCCTTTTGGACAACGGAACTCCCTCGCCTCGACATTCCTAACGAGACAAAAATGCAAAAAATGTCTGCAAAAAATATTCTAGGACCCGGGTGCACGATCAGAGGTTGGGAAATCCCATTTCTTGTTCATGTGATAGGAGGAAGCAAGTTGAGAAAGGCATGTATGATCCAAAGCACAGTGACATTGGGTTTTTGATGATTCAATTGATAAGAAATAATGAACCAAATGGAGACAGGTTAAAGCCTAGCCGTCAATTTGGGATTCAAGGCAAACAGAGTTCAGGCAAACAGAGTTCAGTGGAACAAGGGAAAGTAATTTCATGAAAGATACAGTAAATGAGAAAGAGAAGCATCAACTAGGCACGCAAAGCAAACAAGCAAACAGTCACGGACAGAGAAGTATGGGATCACTGAAAGCAGTGATGAGGATTGCCATTGGGGACAACACTTGAATTGAGGCAAGAAGTCCTAGAAAACAGAGAAGATAAATAAACCCCGTGAGGCCATCAATAAAGGCAACGATGAGGAAGAGAGAGAGACAGGGACACACACCTAACCCTTCACAGAGAGAGAGAGACAGAGAGAGAGAGAGAGAGAGTGGATTACATGAGAATGGGAAAAAAAGAGAAGGGAAAGAGAAGGGTATTGATTGATTGATGAAGGCAAGCAAGTGGACAAACACCATGAAAGTCACGATCTCTCAGCTGTGTAACGCGTCAACGCTTCACTTTACAACACAGTGATGCTCCTCTCTCTCTCTCTCTCTCTCTCTCTGTTCACTAAAAATGGGTACTAGCTTCGTCTTCGTCGCCTTCAACAAATTCTGCAACACCCACTCACTCACTAACGTGGTGTTTGTGCAGCTCGCACGAGCTACAGCACTGTGCCCTCGAATGAAATGACCGAAAAGGCGTGATTTTTGGCACGAATTATTGATGGGTCTTCTTTTGCTTTAAACGGTGAGGATGGATTGGGACGGTTCATACCGATTTCGAAGATACACAAATCTCCGCCATTTTTGCTGGGCCTGCCAAGTTGGGTCTGTTCCATAACTCTCCGTATCCGTTTTTCTCTCTCTTTCATTTTTCTTCCTTCTTTTTCGGGGTGGGCAAGTCAAGAAGGTGATGATTATCCGAACGACCGCTTCGTTTCTGCTCGGTGGAGTGATCAGGAATCTTTCCTGGGCTCCTAGTGCCAACCTCGCCTCTTCCAGATCAACAACGAACACGAACAAATTTCAAATTTCTTCAAGATCTTTCTGCAGAAGGCATGTAAATCTAGTGGCCGAGCTCAGCCATGCATAGCAACAAAATCTTCATAACCTGACGAGTTCTCCACGCCATAGATGGAGAGATGCGTTTCGGGGTTCCATGAAAAAGGAAAGAACCGGAGAAACTCGGATGGCCAAAAGCAACCCAACCATGTGAGGTTCACTCATGACTCTTCGAGAAAATTGCATTGTGCTGGGGCGGGAGGAGAACTTTCGACGAGGGTCGCACTCGGCCACTGTCGATGGCGATGAGCCCCTCGCATGTCGATTTCCTGAAAAGAGTAACGAGAGGACATCGATTCATAAGATTGGTATTCTACAGTTTCTAACGTATCATCATAAGTTGACTATACTCAATACCTGAAAATACCTCTTTGTTCCTCGTCTAGGTATTTAGAAGGAAGTGACTACGCGCCGTATATTTTCGCGAAATACCAAGTTACAACGTTGGCGCTTGTGTTTTGATGGTTGTGGTGTACCCTTAAGAGGAAACATAGATCTTTATTTAACTCTCGAATTTTTTTTTTCTTGGGTAAGAAATGAGGGCAAAGCCCTAGAGTTATAGTAAAACTCGATCCCGTCTTATTTCCTATCAACAAAGTAAGTAAATCTTTCGATTTTAATTATGAAATATCTCAATTTTATTGAATGACAATCTGCGGATCTAACTCATAAAAGGCCTTCTCTTCACCTTGCAATCTGTATGCACGTACAAATATGGGGAAATCTACAAAAAAATATAATTATAAACTTGTTATACGGATGTCAATTTAATATTAAACCTTTTTAATTTGGCTAAACTGGTTTTAAACCTTTCAACGATTTACTAATATAATCCTTCCAGCCAATTTTAACTGGAAATCGCTGACGTGGATGTGATCGTTCTACGTGGCATAACTGGTGCTGACGTGAACAATTTTTTAAAAATTTTAAAAACCTTCTTTTCATTATTTTTTTCATTGTGGGCGGGTGAGGGTTGCCAGCGGATCTAGCCGGCACTGGACAAGGGCATCTTGAGACGCTTTTTTGGCCACCAGCGAGGTCACAGACCAGTGAAGGGAAATAAGAAAAAAGAAAAAAAATGGAAAAAAAAGAAAAACATACAAAAAAAATTTAAAAATTTTCTTATGTGCGGTGCCACGTAGGACGGTTAGCGTCCACGTTAGAAATTTTCGATCAAAATTGATAAGAAGGGCTACATTGACAAATCATCAAAAAATTTAAAATAAAATTGATAAAATTAAAAAGTTTAAAACTAAATTGACGTCGGTACACCAGGCTTAAAACTTTTTTTTGGTAATTATCCCTGCAGAAATGAGGCCTGAAGGAGGGACGGAGCTTTGAACATTTTGTCAGTGAAGTCAATAATTTTATGCTTTCTCCTCTGATGGCTTCTGGTCTTTTCATCCTCCAATGGGGTCAAGTTTGCAGTTTCAAAAATTTAGTGGAGTCAACATCCATAATAGAGGCGAAATATTCCATATACATGTAAAATCTCGTAGGTGTCAACATCTATAAGCCACTAGAAGTTCCTAGACTTCTGTCAAGGAGACAAATGGGCTTTTGCCATTAGGCCATCAATCCAATAGGGGCTACGCGCTGCATAGAAAATTGGTGGGACAATATCATTTTCGATTTCCATAATCGTTTGAGCGATGCTAAGTATACGATAATCTACACCGTAATTTTGCGTACGACATAGACTAATCTTCGTACCAAATTCAAGCCGTCATTAAAAGTTCCCCACATAGCATTTCCCTTTTACTCGAACAAGAGGGAATAGGGCTTGACAGGAACATGCAAAGAAAGGCTTACCATCATCAGATCAGATGCATCGTTGTGCTGAATTTTCGGAGTATTTCTAGCGAAAAAATAATTGAAATGTTTCGACGGAGGGTCTTACATATATGTTCCATGGGTGCTTTGATCAATTCAGCCTTTGGTCATTAACCAACTCCTTCGGCCATCAAAGCATTATATATCGTTTTGGTGTATTCATCATGGTGAATAGGGTGAATAGGCCCTAAAGGTAACGGTCAAAATTGATGCCCAACATCATTTATTATGAGATTGAATCCGAGCTAACGTATATATATGTCAAGCGTACTTGCTCATAGCTAGCTAAGAAAAATCATATTATTTGTCGATGTGATACTTAAACTCTATTAGAAGAATTACAGATGGTGTGGAGCTGTGTTCCGCAACTCTATAATCATACATCATTAGGCCAAGAACGTGTTATTAGCTTCCTAATCACAAGCTTTATTCGTATCATTCCTTACAGCAAGCAGGAGATGAAAACGACACCCACATCTAATCCAACCTGAGAACTTCAGCTTTCACTCGACCCCAAACCTCTTCTTGAGCTCTAGCACGAACCCGTGAACCTTCTGAGGGTCGGGAAGCGACCTGGACACGCTCTCCCGGAGCATGCACCTCTTGGCCCACGCCACGAGCTTGGGGCACTCGGCCTCGATGCTGAAATCCCCGCAGGTCTCGTACGCATGGAACCAGCTGTAGTACGGGACGAGAGCCACGTCCACGAACCCAAAGACCTCCCCTCCGAAGAAGGGCTTGTCCCCAAGCTCTCCTTCCAAAAGCTTGAGGCTCTCCACGAACTCCTTCTTCGCTGCCTCTTGCTCCTCTCCCTTTGTGGACCATATCTTTCGTCCAAGGTCATATATCTGCATTTCAAGATGACACAGCCGTCTTTTTAACGTGGTCAAAAGCTCCTGCATCGACAACATGCTTAGTGTCGTGTCTCGACAAGAGAAACACTCACCTTCTTGTCGACGAAGTCGGCCCAGAACCGGGCTTGAGCTCTCTCGTAAGGATCGGACGGCATCAACGGCGACTTGTCGTGCCACACCTCGTCGATGTACTGAACCTCGATGAGAGACTCGCAGACCGGCTTCCCGTTGTGGATGAGGACCGGGATTTTCTTGTGGACGGGGTTCATCTCCAGGAGCAAAGGGCTCTTGTTCCTCAGATCCTCCTCCTTGTACTCATAGGCGATCCCTTTCTCCGCCAGGGCAATTCTCACCCTCATCCCAAAAGGGCTGGGCCAGAAATCCAAAAGAACCACCTCTTCAGCCATTTATTTCTTCAACAGAGAAGTTGATGGTAACTGCAAAGTAACGCAGCTAAATATGATGCAGACGTTGCTTCTTATACGAGCTCTCTGGCCTTGTCACAGGCAACGGATTTGAGGGAGACGCCTGAATTGGATTGAGTATATTTATAGATGGTTTCATATAAGTCGGTTTAGACTAGTTACTGCATTTTTTTCAAAGTGCCTTTAAGCCAAGAAGCTCCAGGATTTTCCAGAGAGAAGCAGATGCCTTGATCCCATTGCCTTTTCCTCATCTAGAGTGTTCTATCTCCTTCTTGAAAGGTTGATGGAGGATCAAGAGATATGATATAAAATTTCGCTTAGTCTTTCCGCAAAATTGGACCCTACACCCACAGTTGTCGTCATTCTTGGACTTCAGAGACGTGCCAAAATGAAAACAACACACTGTCCAGTTCCGGTGAGGTCTTACACGAGAATTTGAACTGCGGGATTATCATCGATTGTCTGATTCTATCACAATTAGAAGGTCGATTCCCACAATCAACTCCACAGAAAAAGCAGACTCTCATAAATGCAACTTGCTCTGTCTATGATATTATCCATGATATAACATTCTATCTGTGTCTGAATAATAACAGTATATAGCGATCATACCACACCTGAGAGTTCTGTTTTCATTTATCCTTCTGCCCTTGGTGAAAAGTCACTGGTATTCAGAAACCATTCTCTGGTTTTCACATCACTAATTATGCATATTAACTTAATTCAGTTGCAACTGCGGCATCTACATACATCATGTTATCATCCTATCAAGTGTTCTGGACATTAAATTGCATACGGTGAGACCTCACAAATCTTTCATGATTTACGGACCATTTCCTCCGCAGTTTCAATCTACAAACAAATCATGGTGTGACATATGAAACATTTTAAAAACAGTGAAAAAAGAATCAGTATAATTTTCTTCATGCGATGATACAGTTGGTGGGCTCGCCATGCCTCTAGGGATCATTTTCTCCGCTTCACGGGTCGGTTCTGCTCCACTATAACAAAAAGAATTCTCTAGAAGCAGCTCTGAACCTGCAACATTAAAACGCATTATGCCAAAACTCTAATTCACTTATTTTTGTAAATGAACAAAACACACTGCAGATGGATCTTCTCAAGCAGGCAGCTAAACTACAAAATGGTTTGCGCAACAAACACAACATATAACCAGAAGATAGACGCTTATCTTGGACTTGCGATTAATATACTTCCAAGCAAACCGACCACGAGATCGTTTAGCATGATAGGAAAAGTACAGGATTGATAGGACGGGGAAGTATAGCAAATTTCCATGCAAAAGAAAGGAGCTAATAATGTTCTTTTATATATATATATATATCATATATTCCTCAAGTTGGCAGTTTACTAAATAAAAAACACTAAGAGGATATGAGTCGGTAAATTTAAGAATAGGAAATATACCACGAATCTTGGAACTTGCCAACATCAAGTTTGTGAAGACTCTTCTTTTTCCTCCTATTTTATCTTGAAAAGAAAACTAATGTCCAACTCATTTTTGTAGAGAACTTCAATCTTAATCCCAAGGAATCTGTCACAGGCAAAAAACTTTTAATTGGGCGTTCTTGAAAAATCAGATGAATGACAAACCATCTGGATTTACGTGTAATGCTGAATCAAACAGATAGCACGGAAGTTGAAAATGAGTTTTACCAATCAGGAACAGGGCCATTCAAGATCCTGAGTGAGATATTGAACGTGACTGACCAATTGCAGGATTGTAAGATGTTAAGAAGCAATGAAAGGAATGGAAGAGTAAACAATTCTAGAAGCAAAAAAAAAAATCAAGAAAATAGATATGGGAGATCTTAAAGGACATTAGAGCATGCAGAAGCTATACCTGGGGTGTCCTCTGAATTGTTTGTTTCTACTTCTCAGAAGCCAATGATGATGACGATGTCAATTGCATAGATTCAGTACGTTGCTTGTCATCGGAGCTGCCTCGAGAAGCTTCTTTCTTTAACTTATGGTTGTTATATGCTGCTACACCAGCAATGGCTGCAATTTTAATTTCTGTAAGTACTACTAAGAGAACTAGCACCCAAAAAATTCAATGAAGTTCCTTGAGTTTGCTACTGGCATAGTTATCTAGCCATTGCTTGCAAGATCCTTATGGACCTAGATTCTCAAATTAGTAAAATCATAGAAGAAAAAATGAGATGGAGATTTTTTAGGAAAATTATGACAACTATCTAGAGACACAAAAATCTGTCTATTAAGCATAAACAATTTAAAATGAGTCCCATTAAATCCAAGATACTGTTCACAGAGCATTCGGTAACATTTTAGATGTGTGTATAATCCTCAAGCATGACAATTTTGCTAGCAACATCACAAGATGTAACAATAAGATCAGATATAGTATGGAAGATTCATGAGAAGAAAGCCTTGGGAAATAGAGGCAAACATTAAACCTTAAAGAGAGATCAGATCACTGTATAGAAAACTGAAGAAGAAATGTGTTGAGATACTTACCAATGCCATAACCGAAAAGATTTATCAATGTGAGCTTTGTATCGGCAAAGAGAAGGGCAGACAGTAACACCACCACCCAATCTTTGACAACGCCCGCAACACGTATGGTCAGAGCACTTGTATGAGTTATCACCAGGAAAACTGACAAATTGAGTGCAAAGGTACATAGAGAGTTGAGTGTCAAAATAAGGGCATGAAAGTCCCATGTTCCACGAGCATCCATCTTGGGCTTCTCTAGAAAGATCCAAGGGATAAATAGGCAAATCGCACTGCACAGAGGAGATCATCCCATGGCATGATCAGAAGTTTCCATAGTTAATTCTAAACAGTTCCTTTCCAAACAAATTGACAATTAAGTTTCAGAAGGGAACATACCTGCAGGGGCTCACATAATACATAAGAGATATGGGATTTAACTTGAGTCCTTTCCTCTTTACCAGAATCTCCATGAAAATAAGTCTCAAAGCTTCCCCAACGACACCACCCATCTGGTAAACAACACCAATCCAGCTTATGTTTATTTCCCCATAAGATGCAACTAAGACTCCAAAACTTATCACTGACATAATCAAAAGCATTCTGCAGCTCATCACTTCAAGTCCTGCTGCCACTCCAAGAATGAAAACAGCTACTGGCACTGCACAAATTATTTGGCAATAGCATTTCAGGACGATATCACTTATCTACTGAAAGAAGCAATGGACTGCCATGGTACAACTATCTGAACTTCACTAAATACGTGAACACAAAGTTTTACAAGAACTTTTAAAGAAGAATAGAAAGAACGTACTGATCGCCTTCAACATCTGTGCAAATGCAACAGAAATGTAAAGGTAGGCAGTGTTCCCCAGCCAAAGGGTCATTGCGAACATTGCACCAATCGGGATCACTGAGGTAGTATATCTGGAGATGAAGAGAACTATAACATATAAGGCAATGATACTTGCAAGTACACTACTAGGAAAATAGATTACTCTTGGTAAATAATACTCAGAACTTTCGAACAGCAGGCTCCAGCCAAAAAAAAGCCAATTTTAACTTTATAGGGTCTGTATTTTAGTTGATATGCAGACATTACCACTTGTACTTGTATGTTTTCTAATAAAAGATTAGTTCAAATTTGTTCCTTGCAGACCTCTTTTATCCACAGGCAAGTGATGGCACTGACTGTGAGAAAGAATGGGCGATGATATAACACCAAAGATCTCTTCAGCATGCCAATGTGGTCCTATTAATGCAGCTAAAGGCATTTTACTTGATGAAACCACAATTAGCTTTATCAATAACGACTGGTTAGCAGCAAATATTAAATTTGAAACCCAACCCCCACAAAGTTTGTCCTTCAGTCTACCATTTTGTTTGTTTAAATAACTCAATGAAGGGGCTGATTTAATCTCTCACAAAGTGACACGATGCATTAAAATTAAACTCTCGGAAATAACTGCCAGTAACATTCCAAGAAAATAATATCAAAACTCTAGCATTTAGCCATAAAGAATTGCATTACAATAGGAGAATAATAACAAAAAGTTTCTCTATTTTTTCCCCTTGGAACCAAACCTATCTCAGTACTTACATTTCTAGCGTCATCCCTTCTTCCACCTTCATTATCTGCAATCAAATCAATAATCATGATCCACAATTAGGTTTAACAAGCTGAAATTTGCAGCGAAAGACCATCACAGGATTATAGGACTGTAATAGATCCTAATACTAAGTACCTTGAAAACTTTTGTAAGCAGAAAACACAGGACAGAGGAGAAGACCATGTGAAGTAGAGTCAACCCAAGAGGATATGGGAAGTTGATCTCCTTTGATGACAGAACCCACTGCATTTTACAGCATAGGTGGACATCAGTTCGGAATTTATACATATATTTGAGACCATGTTCTAGTTAGCACCGCATTTTACAACATAGGTGGACATCAGTTCGGAATTTATACATATATTTGAGACCATGCTCTAGTTAGCACTGCATATCGAGCTTTAAATTGCAACTTCAGCGAGAGCACCATTACAGTGTGGTGTGACCATATTCATTCATGAAGCAAGCATCTGTCTGCATACAAAAGTGAATTAACAAAGCTGGCTCAACACGGATCCTCATTCCAAATTCCACAAGCTAATTGTCCATTACAATCATGATATGAACTAAATCTAAAATTTCGAGCAAGGCAGACATTATAGCTAATGTCCGACCCATTTTGCTCCGTTCAACCTCGTCTCCTCCAAAATCTGGATCGCATCTAACCTATAGAACTATGCCAGTCCAGCTTAGCAACTCCGAAACCAACTAGCCGCTCAAAATCGCACGGAGCAAGCGCGATGGACTCCAATCGAGCGCCATCGACACGCGACCGCAGCTCTCGCTATCCAAAATCACTAGAATCCACAAGGGAAACGCAAAATGCGGCGTCATTGAGCGGCGGCGCGGTCGCGCCGGCGAACGAATCAGGGGCGAGAAAACCGACCTTGTTGAAGAAGATCTGGCCGCTGGAGAGGGCGATGTAGAGGAGGAGGTAGGCGTAGGTCACCGCTCCCTCGCTGAGAAACGATCTCCGATCCGCCATTTGCGGCGAGCAATCGCGGAGCGCAGGACCGGACCGTTCAATGGATCGGCGAGATTGACGCCCGACGCAGCCGCGAGCTCCCGTTCATGCAGCGGGAACGAGCCCTTCCTTCTTCTTCTTCGCGTTTAATGGCGCTTCGAGTTCAGTGCACTGCAAGTTCTCTTTACTGCGTGCCAGGAAGTCAAACGTCGAGCTCTGGAAAAGCAAAGAGCAACCCCGGCAGGGCCGGGCCGGTGGACCAGGGCCCAAGGCCGGTGCTTAAGCCCAAGTCTCGCTGTCCAACCTCTGAGGCCAGTCCACCCGGATTATGGGCTTTTTGGGTGGGCCCGTCGGCAGTCAGGCCCAAGCCCACGAGCGGGTCTAAGTTTGTTGTGCATTTCAGCGAAAATTCCTGAAAACATACAGCGAGATAATTTGCTGGTATTGTTGGTCCCCTGCTTCTCTATCTCTCTCTTTTCTATTTGGGATAATGATACAAATGATCTCTGAATTTTGGCCTAACGTGTCTTAACTTTTAATTTGTTTAATGTGGTCCTTCAACTTTTAATTTGTTCATTGTGATCTCTAGACTTTTAGTACATGTTCAATGTAGTCCTTAAATTATATGAAAATACTCAATGTAGTCCTTTCATCAATTCAATATCATGGACAATATTGAATATTTTCATATAGTCTAGGGGCTAATTTGAACATATACCAAAAGTTCAGGGACTACATTGAACGTATTAAAAGTTGATGGACCATATTGTACATTGGACTAAAGTTCAAGGACCACATTGAACAAATTAAAAGTTTAAGATCAAATCACACATTAGGCCAAAGTTCATGGATCATTTGTGTCATTTTCCCTTTCTATTTCTAGTTTTTGTTCCCGTGGGAATATTTGACCTCTCTATTAGATGGAACTACACTTTCCAGGACATGAGTTTCATCTTGTTCCTATGTGACACGAGCATTTTGGTCAATACCATTGATCTGCTCTCTGTCTCTAGTAACTCAGTGTCATTCCAAATACTTTTAGACTGCGATTGGTCGTCCGGATTTCTAATCAGAATAGGACTTGATAGGATAGGATAAGAAATCCTAAAATTTTGTCATATCCTATCTATTGTTTGATGGACTATAGACTTAAAGTCGGATATTTTTATATCTTATCCTATCCATTGTTTAGTGGAAACCGGATATCAATGTAAATGACATATATGCCCCTATGTAGTGCCCATAAAATAATATCGAATCTTATAATCATAAAAATATCTTTGTGTGATTTAACATTATTAAAAAACTATTCTTTGCCAAAAATGACAAAAACTGCACTACTGGAAAATGCTAGATTGCAAAAAGAACATTGTTCAGAAAACATATGATTTTAAGAAATAGAAACCTTGCTTACTTCTTCAAATACCACAACAACTATGAACAATGCTCCTGACTTCACAAGAATAGCACATTCAGAAAACATATGATTCCAAGAAATAGCGAAAAGAACATTGTTCGACGTTGTTCATTTTCATAAAAGCAACAAAGGCAACACACCAATTACTTATAGTAAAAAAATTAGGGATAACTTTCCCTTTCCAACTCTTACAAATGTACTACAACCCATCGCTCCTACTCTACCTAACTCACCGAATACCACAAAAGCTATAAACCAAGCTCCAAACTTCACAAGACATAGCACATTCAAAAAACAAATCATTAGTCTTTCCCGTCTATCATCTTGGAGAAGCTGTTCCTCGTGCAACTAGTTCTTCAAGATCATTTAGAAACGCATTTTCTTTATCTATTGTCCATACACATCGGTCTTCTTTGTTCCCCTTCCTTGAGTTGACTGAAATCGTTACCTTCCATTCCTAAATATAGACAAGCCTTGGTGATTGTTGTTTGAACAATGAATGAATATGGACAACAGATATGAGCATGAATCCAACAAATTTAAGTCAAATTTCTACAAGCTATCAGCCAAAAGAATTCTGCCATACCAAATGGAAAAGGCAAATACAATATAGACATATTGAGAGCAGAGAGATTTAAGGATGAATTAGGAACTAAAAACGAAGAGAGAGCCTGCAGCGCCCGTCCATGGATAATATGCAATCCAACTCTCATGAAGTTGTGAACAAACCTAACCCTGCCTTTGACTACTTAGCAAAACATAGAGAGACCTTCAACTTCAAGTAGAGGGTTTACTCAGAGAAAATAACATCACAATACATAATACAAATCAATGACAGATAATGACAATTAAAAGTTGATTTTCTATTAGCCATCTTATGAAGATGAAGTATCCTTTTCAATCATGGCTAGACAAGGAAAACTGATGAGTCCTCTTAACAAGCCAAAAACAAAAAAAGAAAGGAAGAAAGAAGAAAAGCATGAACTAAAGTCAGGCGTAAGAGGGAAGCAGATTCCCTCTTGTAATTTGGCAGCTTGTTCTTGTCCTTTCGATTACTCCACAAATGTAAAAAGAATATTTTAAAGACAAGTAGGAGACTCAACTTTCCCACAGGAAAAGCATAGAAAGTTGAGCATGAACATAGCAAGCACAAGTAAACTAGCACCGAGAAATCTAGCATTTAAAGAAGCATGATTTCTCTGTCATGTAAAACCCGATTTACATAATCAATATTAGCAAAGGCCTCTTAAAACTGTGCAGAGGACATGACATGTACAATAAAAAACATATTCCACGAGCTATAATGCGGCGGGAACGACACCCACCTCGGTTCCAAAGGCAAATTAGCGAGCGAGGCGCGGCGGCAACTCAAAATCGGTGAGGTGCAACTCAAGAGCTCAACTGTGCTAAGCAAGCGACAGGAGAGGAGAGTCTGAGAGATAGAGAGTGAGAATGAGGTTATAAGAGAGAGGAGACGTGTTAGGATAGGGAATCTGGTTTCGCAATTGACAGGGCAACCTCAAGAAAAACGATGGCATGTTTCGATTCATCGAGAACCGAATAGAGAGACTCCACCCTAAACGAGAATTCGCAAGCCAAAAAAAATGAGACAAGAAAGAGAGAAATAGAGCCATACCCACAAATGATTGCACCTATGAAAGCTAATATAAACCGAGGAAGGAACTCATGAACCTTGTAAAGAGTGCGAATATCGATGCACAGAGAGAGGGAGAGAGAGTGACGCAGCGTTCAGCGAATAATTCAAGCAAAACCTTGCTTAGAGAAAGAAATCTCGAAATTCAATATTAATAATAATGTTCTGTCCTTAAAAAAAAACCCTAAAACAAGCTTATATATCCCTAAACCAAACCCTACTAGGATTATAAAACATAAAATATCAAAATTACAAAACTGCCCTTAAAATTAAAACCCATAAAAATATTAAAATAATAGAAAAACTCATGTAAACGATCCCGAATCGCTAAAATCCATCTTTAGTCACAGCCAAAGGTGGTGAGTTTTGTTCAGAACACCGTGTCGCTTCAAAAGACCGAATTTGAGCCCGATCCGATATCGTCAACCGGGTTCGCCGGTTCTAGTCGCATCACCGTTTCGCCTTCCGTTTGGACTTCTGCCTGTCCAACCGGTCCAGAAACGCACCACTAATAGATTTTACATCATTCTCCTCCACTTGAAAAGAACTCGTCCTCGAGTTAAAATCAGGATCTGGATATAACGGCTCTGCGGACTCATGAAACGGAGATAAATCAGCAGCATTGAAAGTGTTAGATATGCCCATACTATGTGGAAGGTCTATAACATAAGCATTATCGTTGATATTCTTGCTGACAGTGTAAGGCCCATACTTCTTTTGCTGCAATTTGCTATAAGATCCAACTGGTAATCGCTCTTTATGAAGAAAAACCATGACCTGATCACCTACCACAAACACCTGCTTCTGCCTGTGCTTATCTGCTGCAGCTTTATCCTTCTGATTAGCTTCCTCTAGCTTCTGTTGGACTTCATGATGCACTTCCACAATCTGTTTAGCCATATGATCTGCCGCTACACTCTTATCCGCTTGCTTAGGCAACCGTACTAAATCCAGAGTATGCTGAGGCGCCTTTGTATAAACAACGGAAAAATGCAACCTGCCAATAGAACTATGAACTGCATTATTATAAGCAAACTCTGCCTGTGATAAAGCAACATCCCACTGCTTCGGCTTATCTCCACAAATGCTTCGAATCAAGTTTCCCAAAGTTCTATTAACCACCTTTGTTTGTCCATCAGTCTGCGGGTGAGCAGTGCTACTGAAATTCAAAGATGAATCAAACAGTTTCCATAAAGTCCGCCAAAAATGCCCTAGAAATTTGTTGTCCCTATCAAAGGTAATAGACTTAGGAACACCATGCCAACGAACCACCTCTTTAAAGAATAACCTGGCCGCACTTACTGCATCAGAAGTCTTTCTACAAGGAATGAAGTGCGCCATCTTGGAAAATCTATCAGCTACAACAAAAACAGAATCCACACCTCTTTGTGTTCGTGGCAAACCAAGCACAAAATCCATGGAAAGATCTTCCCATATATTGTCAGGAACAGGTAATGGCATATACAGACCTGTATTCTTAGACTTCCCCTTAGCAGTCTGGCAAACATAACACTTTTGTACGTACTTGCTAATATCTCTACGCAACTGGGGCTAGTAAAATCGCTCCCGAACTGCAGCAATAGTTTTATCACGACCCAGGTGTGCAGCTAATCCTCCATCATGCAAATCACGAATTACCTTCTCTCGTAATGATGTTCGAGGAAGGCAAAGCTGGTTGCTACGCATCAAATAGCCATCCTGCACATAAAACTCTTGCACAGGTTGACCAGCAGCACATGACTTCCAAATTTGCCCAAAGTCATCAGCATCTGCATAACAGTCTTTCAACTGCTCAAACCCCAAGATGTCTTGTCTTAATGTAATCAACAAGCCAGCTCTCCTACTCAATGCATCTGCTACGACATTATGCACACCTGACTTGTGCTGTAATCTTAAAGGAAATTTTTGCAAAAATTGACACCATCGCGCATGCATATGTTTGATAATCCTCTTCTGACTATTTAGATACTTCAAAGCTTCATGATCAGAATAAATGACAAATTCTTTCCCAATAAGATAAATGCTCCAAGGTCTTCAAAGCCCTTACGACAGAATAGAATTCTTTGTCATAAGTGCTCCACTTCTGTCTCACCTCGCTAAGCTTCTCACTGAAATAGCAAATTGGTCTACGCTCTTAAGACAAAACAGCTCCTATACCAACTCCACTGGCATCACAGTCCACTTCAAACAGTTTATCAAAATCAGGTAAGGCAAGAACAGGTGCAGTACATAACTTTTCCTTCAGAATAGCAAAACTATTCTCTACTTCCTCTCCCCATAGAAATTTTCCTTTCTTCATACATTCAGTAATCGGGGCTGCGATAGTACTGAAATTCTTAATAAATCGCCGATAGAAAGTAGCCAACCCATGAAAACTCCTAACGTCAGAAACTGTTTTAGGAGTCGGCAACTCCCTGATTGCTCTTACCTTCGCCTCATCGACCTCTATTCCTTCAGCAGTAATAATAAACCCCAAGAATAACAGCTTATTAGTTAAAAAACTGCACTTCTTAAGATTAACATACAACTTATTAATCTGCAAAGCTGTCAACACCTCCCTTAAGTGCATTAGATGATCATCCTCAGTCTTACTATAAATCAGGATATCATCAAAATAAACTACAATGAATTTGCCAATAAAAGATTTCAAAACCTGATTCATAAGTCTCAAGAAAGTGCTTAGAGCATTGGAAAGTCCGAAAGGCATTACCAACCATTCGTACAACCTCTCCTTTGTCTTGAAAGCTGTTTTCCACTCATCTCCAGGCTGAATCCGAATCTGATGGTACCCATTCTTCAAATCCAGCTTCGAGAACCACTTAGCACCGTGCAACCTATCCAGCATGTCATCCAATCTCGGAATTGGAAACTTGTAACTCACGATTATTTTATTAATGGCCCTGCTATCTACACACATCCGCCAACTCCCATCTTTTTTAGGAGTTAACAAGGCCGGAACAGCACATGGGCTCATGCTATTCTGAATGTGTCCCTTTCGTAACAACTCCTCCACCTTCTCTTTTAGAATCTCGCTCTCTTGAGGACTCATCCTGTAGCGTGGTAAATTAGGCAGACTAGCACCAGGAATTAAGTCTATATGGTGCTGAATATCGCGCATAGGCGGCAACCCATCTGAGATCTCTACAGGCATTAGCTCACTAAACTCCTTCAATAAAGGCTTAATTGATTCGGGCTGCTCCTCCACTTGTAATTGAGCCTCTGGCTCGAATGCCTGTTTCACTATTAACGCGTGAATCTATCGGGTCTCCTTAATCTCAGCTTCAAATTTCCTTGTAAGGGTAAGGAAATTATTTTCAGCAGCTTGTTTTCCTTTATTCTTTAGTGGCAGCAACATGTACTTCACTCCATCCTTCACGAGGTTATACTGATTGCTCCTTCCCGAATGCTGCACATCTACATCAAATTGCCACGGCCTCCCAAACAACACGTGACATACATCCATGTCTACCACATCACAATACAGTTCATCATGATATTTTCCAATGGAGAATGGAATTTTACATCGTTCAATCACCTGAATGCTTTCCGCTCCAGATTTAATCCACCTTAACGTATAGGGATTTGGATGGTTTTCCACGGGCATTCCCAGCTTCTTCACTGCCTCTTTCCCAATGATATTCTCCATGCTTCCACTATCAATAACCACAGTAAATATTTTGTCCAGAATAGTGCACCTAGTTCGGAATAACTGATGGCGCTGCGAATCATCTTCCTATTTTGGGGCCAACATCATCCTGTGCACCACACAATTTACTTCCCCTTTTTCATCTTCAAAATCATCTTCTTCACCATCTAGCTCACAGCAATACCCTTCTTCTTCCTCATCTCTCGCTGCCACGTTTACGGTTTTTCTCTGAGGGCATTCATTAGATCGGTGTCTAGGTTGATTACACCTGTAACACTTTATCGCAGCTGGTTTAGCATAAGGGTTAGGGTTCGCAGTTTTCTGTGCTTGAGTCCCCTTATACCTCGGCTCGTTCATAGGACGCTTTTCTAATGCCTTATCTTCTTGATTTCGCCCTAGGTTGTTGCGGTTTTGAAGCCACTCTTCTCTATCAAACTGCTCGAATTGAAATCTCGATAATTTTCGTATGCTCTTTTTCCCTTGTCTTACTGCATCAATTCTACCTTCATCGCCATATTCTTCGCTTCAGTTAAATTTCGCAGAAACTGCACCCCAATTTTATCTCGAATGAAGGGTTTCAAACCATCGAGATATCTGGCCACCTGCTGTCCCTCCGTCTCCGCTAGATTATTCCGCTCCGCCAATCTCATAAATTCGGCCGTATACTCATGTACAGTCCGATTGCCCTGCTGGCAACGTTGGTACTGCTAATTTGTTCATATTCGGGTGGAAGGAACTCCTGTTTCAGCAGCCTCCTCATCCTAGTCTAAGTTCGAACTCTATCTTTCCCTTCTCGCTCCCTCTTATTCTGCAATCTCTCCCACCATGCAGACACACCCCCCTTTAATCTACAGGCTACTAATTGCACCCTTTTCTCACCAGGGGTCTCCATATAATCGAAAAATTTATCTATATCAGCAATCCAATCCAAAAATTCTTCTATGCCCAAACTTCCATTAAAATAAGGAATATCGACTTTCAATTTAAAGTCGTTCCCTTCACGATCGTCGTAACGTCGTCTTCCATCTCTCCTATCATATCCTCTTTGAAATTGTCTATGACGATGTCTGCCGTCATAATCAGCACGTTCCTCATCAAAATAATCGTTTTCTTCTTCTTCCGAACTCTCTGAAAATAGAGGGTTATTCAGCCTGCGGACAGGAACAGGCCTATCAACAGGATCACCGCGAGCAAGATCTACACCCGGTCTTCTGCCGTTTCGCCGATTCCGGTTCACATCAACGCCGAGACCTTCGAATCGATCTGTTAACTCGTCAAATCGTTCTTCGAAACGACGAAGACTTTGATTGATTCGTTGATCCAGGCGTTCCATTAAACACTGCTCCAAACGTTGCAGCGCGTCGTCCCCAAGGGTTGGAGCTCTA